TTCTGCTCCCTTTGGCATGCTCTTCTTTGCATGCAATGTTTGGGTTATTTCAGGATTCCAAAAGGGACAGTGCAAGAAAATGGGGGGGGAAGAAATGAATACAGCTATTTTAACATCTTGGCTTAAAAAAACCCCCAAAACACACAAAGTTAGATAATGGGATATCAGGACATACTTATAAAGCCTCCAGTACTTCTGACAATTTTTGGCAACAGGCAAGCCCTTTTATATTAGCATCTTGTCCATTTTCTCCATATTTCTAGCCCAAAAGACTGGCTATAAAATCCAGAAATGCCCAGTAGACAGTGCAGTATGCCATATCACTGGGGCAGAGGACTAATCTCATAGGTTTTTAAAATTCAGGCAGGAACTAGTCTGTGTTTGAGCAAGCTGGTTTACAAGTGAACCAGTTAGAGTTAAGGAGTTAGCTTTAAAAACCACACTACAATAAGCTTGTGAGAATTATTAAACCTACCCTCTCCACAATGAACGCAGTTATACCTCGGGAGGCTGGAACAGCATTAATGTCAGTTTTAGCATAAACGATGAGAACATCTGCGTCTGGCCCATTGGTGATCCAAAATTTGTTCCCATTCAAAACAAAGTAGTCTCCTAGAAGAGAAGAGCTGCAGCGTGTTAGCTCACAACAGAGCAACACCTATATCCTCACTCCACTTATTTCAAAATAGGCTTCCAAGAATGTTCTTTAAGACACCCACAAAAAATATGCACAAATCCTTCCCCAGTACAAGAAAACTCATCTCCTCAATTTCTGGAGTCCAAAGACAGTTTAATAAATGCCTGACAAACTGAGGCACCTAGCACTGGTTCCATAATACCACCAATCTCTACCACCATAACCAGAAGTCCACTTTCAGACCTTCAACCATCCACCCTGTATCTTCGCTACGTGGCTTTATCACGCATTGAATCTCCCGGGAGGCAGCACAAGCCTGCACACATGGCTTGGTATACCCAAGGCCTCGATGGTGTTGGGGAGGTTAGTCTGAATTTACAGGAGACATTATTTACACCGGCTATCTATCCAGGCAGCACATGGCAGGCCTTACCTTTCTTATCTGCTTTCAGCTTCATGGACACAACATCGGATCCAGCATTGGGTTCGCTCATTGCTAAGGCTCCTATGTGCTCCCCACTGATTAGCTGGAGGAAAAGACAAATATAAGAAAGGGAGGGAGAATAGTAGCATTGTTTCTGCTCCCTCTTTAGCCTGCCTGCCTCCCTTTTTTTTTTTCTGCTCTGAATATCCACAGTAGCTATTCTATGCAAGAACTGCAAACAAGAGCTGCTGTTCCTGGTAGAGTCCTAGCAGGAAGCTCCCTTGTGCTGCTGTGCTAAGGGAATAGAACCAAATCACAGTGGGATGAGAAAGATGACTCAACTCATGTCTGAGTTAGATGAGTACAGCCCTGCTTATAAAACACCATCTCCAGGAAGGTGCCAAAAGAACCATGCAGGCAGCCATATGCCTTTCACAAGCTCCTTGTGCTGCACTTTATGACTGCCCTTTTGCATAAACAAGAGTTGTTAAACACAAAAGGCCAATGACAGGGATGAAAAGGGGTTGAAAAGTTCTTAACAATGTTCTCATAGCCTGGTTCCCCCACACTCACACTACAATAGCAGATGGACACTCTCCTTCTGTGCTTGCTCATACCAGGCTCTGGCATAGCTGTTGCTTCTTCACCGCTCCCTTCATCCCACCCTTTTCTCCTTGTCTTTTTTTCCTCCCTGTGTAATTTTATCCATCTTCTCCTCCTTCTGATCTTTTTTTTTTTTAAAAAAAAACAGACTCAAGGCTCAAGATACATGTTCAACAAATTCAATCCATCAGTGCATTTCTACAGAAGTCTTCATGATATGTTCAAAACTAGTTAAGTACCATTAAGTACTCTGTCATGAACCACGACAAGTAAGAACTAAAGTGATCGCACACCTCGTATTGAAAGGCAGTGAATGAGGGCATTAAAATACACCTGAGCAGCAATGAGGACAATTCAGGGTTACATATTAGCAGGCTGCACGATACTTTGAGGAAGTGACACTGTACTTCGCATGTTGTTTAAATCCAGATTCTTGCGCTGATCATTTCAGTAGCTGGGATTCAATATACTAGTTAAGTTTTTCCATGCATTTAAATACTAAAATCTGTTTAACACGCTTTTGAGTCACAAAAATCAATGCCCCAAATGATGAAAATTTTCACGTGTAGTTAACTGGCACAGGCAAACCAAGCATTTGGGCAGTGAGAAATGGAGAATATAAAATAGGAAAGCAGTGAGTTTCATTCAGAACTCTCAAAACAATTTGTGAAGTTGGAAGAGTATCATCCAGTGTCACCTCAAAGCCTCATTTAGTAACATAACTCCAGAGAGCTGGACTATGCTGCCTACAGACATGGACTGAGGTCAATACGGATTAACAGGACAAAAATTAACAAGCTAGAGAAGGGCAAGTTTGGCAAGTACAATATTTCCTAAAGGCTGGGAGACTGAAATCGGCTAGTGCTTAAAATGCTACGTACTGTGAAAGACGCCCATCCTTGCATGCAGCCACAACCTGAGTGCTTTCCAGTTTCCCCCCCTCTTCCAGCGACATACCTTGGGCAAGTACTTGTTTTTCTGGGCCTCATTGCCGTTACGCACTAGCTGGTTGATGCAAAGGTTTGAGTGGGCACCGTAACTAAGCCCAACAGCTGCTGATGCACGAGAAATTTCCTCCATCACCAGCACATGGTCCAGATACCCCAAAGCAGATCCACCATATTCCACTGAAAACAGAAGAGAAACCTCACATTAACCACCATGGAGTATATCACACATGTAGAAGATCCCAGCATTGAGCTCAGTCTTGAATGAGATCCAAGACACTCACAAGAGTGCTTCTGTTTTTGACTGACGCTGTCCCTGAGCTAGGCACCGCTGGTTTTCCCCATCCTCTCTGAATTTCAGTTTTCTTATCTTAAAGGCACAGTGATGTTACTTCTTCAGCATAATTAATAATTTACTTTTACAGTAGAGTTTTATACATACAACATGCATAAAGATACCTCTAAAACATGCTACTGACACTTGCACAATAGTGAGTCCTTCTTGTCAACCATCCTTAAGTGCAACCTTAATATTACCACGAAGATTAAATCAAAGTGGCAACCTGTATTAGGTGAGGGGACAGAGGAACACGGGCAAAGATTGTAAAGTCCAGACATGTTTGTCCTAACAAGGACTGCTAAACAAGTGAGGAATCCTCAAACTGCTCAAAAAGTGGGGCACTGAGGACTTTTATAGGCCCACAGATATGCTGGAGACCCGCATTTTGATGGGCGGCCAATTCAGAATGAGAAAGATCTGCAGATGTAAATGCTGTAATTCAACAGTGGCAAGAATGTGGATTTCAAGAGAGGATGAGGTGAGACAGAGCAGCATGACCATCACAACTGGGAACCTAGCGAGGCACACTGAGCTGAGTCTAAAACTGGCGGTTAAGATGAAAGGCACACAGCAGAACAGGGAGAGAGACAAGGCAAGGAAAAAAAAAAGAGAAGGCTGAGAAATGCATAATGACCTTGAGAAGCTGACAGCCTACATAAATATATACATATATATACACCTACACACACATTTATATACACAGAAATACAGTCACATCCCAAAGTAAAAGCTTTGTTCTACAGGCAAGAAACAAGTGATAGTACTGTTAAGAGAAGAACAAAAACAGGAGGACAAAGACTGCGAACTAGTCAGGGAGGTAATCCGGGAGCACTTACTCGTCATCAACATGAAAGCTGTAAGCAAGGAGCAACAACAGTAAGAGCAGATATGTTTGTATGCTCAGAGTGACCAAAGAGCTGGGTGCATAACCGGGGCTCCAAGAGAGCTACTGGCCCCAACTCCTCAAATTAACACCATAGCCACTAGCATTTTATGCAGCCCTTCCTCCCATGCCACTCATTCTGATTCCTATCTTTATCTGCAGGGCTCTCTGAAATCACCTCTCTACTACAAATGAGTTTGGTGTTTTACTAGCAGCATCCTAAAAGATGGGTTTAACAATTTCTCATATATGCCAAAACAAGAGAGTTTTCTACTCATTCGTACAGAATGGATCGGTTTGGTGCTATTGTCTCAAGAAAGGATAGGTAACCACCTGCTGTAAAGCAGTACTGGCCCATGATTGCTTTGTACTACAAGAGGTACAAAAAAATAAACCTGCCAGACAACTTCTCCTATAATACAAACCATAGTGTGATTTAGAAGGATGCTGTCCTTTCAAAATTACTCTTCATATATACCATGCCTGTATTATCATTCCATGGTAGCTACATATTTGCATTTCTTAACTTAGCTCTTTATAAAATAAATGGAAAATTATGTCAAACCAACAGATTTCTTAGTTCTAAAAAGAAAACAAAAAGCACTGTTATTTTAAAATGCTCCCTTAAAAGATTTGATCCACTGGTGCCCAAATATGCCTCTTAATTGAGCATACACGCTCATAAGATTTCACATTATCTTAACATCCTAAATCCCAGTCTCCACCTCCTACAACAAAACCAATGCCAATAAAGAAACTGCACATAGCTATACAATCAAAAATAAGGCAAAAAGTTCTGGCATAGGAGGGTTTTAGAGGTAAATCTTTGAGGAAATCAAAAAGGACAGGACTCATGAGGGGATGGCTTATTTATAGTGTGGGAAACTGCTGTAAGCCTCAGGCACAACATCAAAGAAGAAAGAAGGTAAGAGTGAGAAAAAACAGGAGCAGCAGTAAATTGGGAAGAGTAAAGAGAAAGAAAGCAGAAATAGAGACTCTTTCAAGCAGACTCAGTGCCACTGAAAGAAATGCAGGGGCATTATTTCAACGCATTGCTATTCAGCTTGCTTCTGCAGCAGCCTTTGCACACGCACATCTAGAAACACAGACTTTACGATGGGGAAATAAAGGCCCCATTGGCTGCTTTTCTCCACTAAGGGCTTCTCCTCATTACACTGTGTTAGTGCATTCAGCATGACCATAGCAGCCTCAGTAATCTATAACATTAATCAAAACACTTTTCAACTAACCTGGACGAGGCTGAATAAGATTTACCCTGATTTTTTTTTTCTGACTGGTTGGATGTGGTCAGCTCTCCATTAGTTATCACAGCTTTTCACAGCATTGTTTTATACCCTCGAACTTCTCCTATTAGAGGTGGATATTTGTTCTAGGATACTTTTCTCTATAGCTCGTTTTTCAAAAACGTGCAGCAAAAGCTTCACGTTGGAGAAGCGCAAACATGTTCGAACTGCATACGTTGTATCTGGAGAAACCACCGTCTGAACGGTACTTTTGAATTGTAAGCGGCATTTTGTAATAGTCTGGAAGTTTAACAAGGAAAAAGGATTCTGATTCAGTGAAGAATAAAAAAGTTGCCAAAGAGAGTTTTTAAAACACATAAAGATAGGAACTTCTGGACAAAATGGATGTCACATCACAGACAAGGCTGTTATGAACTGGAAAGGGTGAGTTTAAGTAGTCTCTCTTTTGTTTGAAGAATCAGCCAGCAGAAGGTAAAAAGTGGGAACCGACTTACCTGGAGCTGTGATCCCCAGAACTCCCAGTTCCCCAAGTTTCTTCCAAAACTCCTACAAGTGCAGAACAAGCAATCAGTACAGACACACAGTCAGGGCATCACCATAAGCAGCTTTCCCCGGTAGCTCACCAGCCACATCAATTTACCATATTCTTGCGATATCTCAGAGATAAATACATCATACCTATTCCTCCTGGAGCAGCAGCTCCATCCTTCGGACTAAGATCCCACACAAAGTTAAGGATGATAATTATGCTATGCATGGGAGTAGTCTGTTGAACTCGGTGAAAATTCACAAGCCAAAATTTAATTCTGGGAGGACAGGTCCTAAGATTTCAGTCATTGTCCAGTTTAAGGAGAATTTTGATGAATTAAAACCTCCCGGTAATTTAAAAAACTGCACTTCTAGGCTTTATTATACCCTTCTCTTCCTAAAGATAATTTAGGATATTATGACTTAAATTTATGTTTGTCTTTTACCTCATTCATCCTTGGCACTGTGTAGGCCTATCAGCCTGTGGTTGCCCATACCCATGACTGAAACCCTGGAAATACTTAGAAGAGTTGCTGTTAGCTGGCCATTTAACTCTTCTAGTGAAACAGAAACTGAGAAGTAAAGCCAGAGAGGCCTCCTTGGGAGAGATTAAAAAGTGGGAATGTTACAGCTGGAGCAGAGAGAGGAGCTGCCCGCCTTGCAGGCGGTACTAGAGAGGTTACAAAAGGTGCCACCACAGAGAATTTGTGAGCACTTCAGACTTGTGAAGCTACAGGAGCTGTATCCACAAGGGCCGCTCGAGTACACAACCTCTAGGTTTTCAGGACTGCCGGGACGCTAGACACACATGGGGACTAGACAGCATTACTGAGCTTTGCACAGTTGGACACCCATGCTACAAAGTCCATCTGCTAGAGAACAAGCTGTCCTCCTTGACCGCAGACTCCTCCATTCGCCTATTGCCCAGATTTATCCCTCTGGCAACACCACCACTCAGGTGACAGCCACATGATTCCAGGCACAGAGCTGCTGGCTGATGTGAGACATACACATCAGCTGCGTCTGGCACACGGCATCACAGAGTGGGAGGGAAGCCGTGACATAATGCAGCAGCAAAGGACGTCACCGATGCGGACGACAGGTACGCTGGAGGGGCCATCCCTTTGCTCCTGCTTCAGAGTGCAGCCTTTCCTCCACTACATGATGGGCACACAGGTGAATGCTTGTCACATGGCCTCAGTGTCCAGCGATAAGATAATTATCAGTGAACTGTCTCCAGAGACTTCAAAAAGTATTATTCAAGAGCTCTGGATGACATCTGGTGTGCCAGACTAAATTTATATACTTAACTTCAAAGCTGCACTTATATCCCTGAAAATGTCAACATCAGAGACCCAGGAAATCCTAGCAGATGTTCTGAGCTTTTTAACTCTCATGGAGCTTATGAAAACCAATAGTTAAATCTCTCATTTTCATCAATCAAACCATCCATCCCGTTGCACAGAATTTGTTGTTTTTAATTAAGAAGGCAAGTTTCAACTCGACAGTCAAAGAACTCTACATTTCAGCACTTGCACACAATATTATCAGAAAAAAATTGAAAGGAAACGCAGATGTCCGATAAAAGGTCCTAGTTAGGAGAATACAAAGCACATATTAGAGGAGTCTGAACAGAGCCAAGCAGAAATATCATGATAGGAATCCAAACAAGACCATTATCAATACTCCCCTTTTTTTTTTAATTGCATGCTGGCTGGGTTCTGCCCCAGGTTGCTGAAAGTTGTTAACAAAAGATTAAACAGGAAATCAAAAAATTGTTTTCTCCATGACTTTCGAGTTTGAAAAGTTAATGCATATGTTCCTGTGGTGTGGACTGGGATTCTTTGTCTGGGCTAATGTACAGATCAAAGTACAGACAGGCTTTCGCTACCATCTCTTTTAAACACGCACATGAAGTACTTACCCGCATGCCTTTGAATTCATTTTCCTGGTCAATCTGTTGGGCCTTTGGAGCCAAATGCTCTTGACAGAACTTTGTCATGGTCTGTCTAAGCTGGGAAAAAAGAGATGAGGAGAAACACACACATTACACCTCATCAATATTTTGTTGTCTTCTTCCCTAGGATACTGCCAACATTCCCCTGCCAGGTGACTCCAGGATCCCAAACTGTAAGGAAATCAATGTTTCAGGTTACTGGCTGAAAGACCATATGAAAGGCCTTTTAGTCTTTTAAAGAAAAGATACTGATGTACTTAAGCTCCTCTCAGCACTTAACCTTAACAGTCTTACCCCAGCATGAGAGAATACTACTTAACTACTGCCTGCACTAGGGCCTCAGGGGATGTTTTTGGTCAGGAAACTTTGGAAGTTGATGAACAGAGCTTATGATGTATTATCCCCATCCAGTAGCTGCTTACGGTTTCATTTAATTATATGCAGATGCCTGTAATAAGCATGCATACTAATTAAAATGTTTTAGTGTATCAAACTGGAACTACATTAGCTATCCTACTATTTTCTTCAGAGGGAAAATTTGATAAAGTCAGGTATGCTCGTTGTTCCAAGTGTTAAAAATCTCAAAGTCTTTTTCTAAATTTTAAAATCTGAATACTTACATACATGTGTTCCACAGAAGTCTATACACATACTAAGAAAATATATACAGTACCTTTTTAAGTGTTTTTAATACAAAGATTTAAGAACTTTGTCTGGGTATTATGGTAGAGCTTAATAATACTATTTTTCCTCTTCGTTCTTTATTCCTATGAATTAATGCTGGTGAAGGAACAGTCCAAGACTGAAAACCTCTGCTGCATAAACAGAAACTGTAGAAGGGGCAGAAGCAAACAACCAAAATATGCCCAGACTTCTCTGCCCCTCTCTCAACCCCACAACCAAGGCAGACTCTTTTTTACCATTAAAGAGATATGCTAACTTCCATGGCTGCCCAGACCTTGGATTCCAGCACCACCAAATTTCCCTCCATTGACTTTTTTTTTTTTTTAAGTTTTAAACATTAGATGTGTTTCCATTGTTACAAAGCTGACAGCAGGAAACTTGAGCATAAAGCTTAAAAGAAAAAAAAGCTTAAAACCATAATAAAAAAAAAATCTTCATCAGAGGATTGATTGAAGGATTGACTCAGACAGACATCCCTAATACTCTAAGCCAGTTTACAAGTTACAGTGCTGTTAATTCACAGCTTCACTAGCAATACTGAAGGTTTATTTCAGCTTTTTTCCCAGCTTTTCCACCAGATAGATATGAACTACAAGAATATTTTCCTCCTTTTACACGTGCTGAATGTAGAAGCATAAAGAAACATCAAGTTAATTCGAGCTGGTAAGGCTATAAACCATGAACACAAACCTGGTAAATAATTCTTTATTCTAAGAAAAGAAGATTTATTCTAAGAAAGAAGCAAGAATGACTAAATTTATTTTGTACATCCGTATGCTTGCATTGTCATAATTATCTAGAAAGTAAGGCTACAGCTCCAGTCCTGAGAAGCACCAAGGACAAGAGTTTCAGTGGCAAAAGCCTATCTGGACTAACCCTTCGAAGACACTTTTACTCCAGGCCCTGCAGCGCTATGACAGCCAGTGGTAGGCTGCTGTTGAATGCAGGAAAAAACAGTAAAGCTAACTATTATCCTAAAACTTACATGCCTCATTGGGCAACAGAACAAGCTGGGAGAACAAGCTGCAACATTTCTTTTGGGAGGATCTGATGGGACCCAGTTCATTTGTTTCTTTGGTGATCACATTTCTGATCATCATTGCTGACCAAATGGGCTCAACGTGAATGCGGTGGGGGGGTTTTGGTTTGTTTTATGCAGTGCTTCGTCGTGTGCTGTTTTATCGTGACGAGGTTGCCCTCCCCCGAGAAGAAAAGGCCAGAG